ACACACACACACACACACACACACTTGGGCACCTCCACGCAGACGTCTACAGGCTCGGCGTCTCGACCGCAACGCACATGTGGCTCACTCTCACACCACCACCGAACGCACCATCATGAGCTCGTCCCAGCCTCGCGCCGGCGACCCCTCCCTTCTCCACCTCCTCGATCCCAACGACCTTCTTCCAGGACACACCACCGCAGATCTATACAGCCTCCGCCACTTCACCCTCCGCGGCGGCCTGCCAGATTCCCCGAGCTGGCTTCGCGCACAGGCCTGGAAGGTCCTTCTCGGCTATCTGCCCCCCGAGAAGAAGGAATGGCCTTCGGTCCTCGCCAAAAGGCGCAGGGAGTACTACCAATTCCTGTCCGATCTCTCGCCATCGTCTTCGTCCACACAGCAGCCGATTCCTTCTCACGAAATCACCAGCAATGACAGACTGCTGGATCAGATCTACAAGGATGTCGTGCGATCTCGCAAGAACGGTTTCGCCTTCTACCAGGCATCCCCCACAGCTAGCGCCTCATGTCCTATCGTCCCCGCACCGCCGGCCGACGAAGATCAACCGGGCACGAGTATCGGCCGCGTGCAGAGGTTGGCTGCCAAGGACAATCTGTTGCACCGCCTGGCCGCAGTCAGCCCTGAATACAGGCAGCAGCTCATGCTTGAGCGCACAACATCCACCACCACCACCAGCAGCAGCAGCTCGAATGGCTCCAGACCGCCTCCACACGTCTTGCACCTCAATTCCAGCTTAAGCGTCTCCACCGCTCTGAACTTGGCAGCCAATGGTGCTCCCGATACTTCCTTAGAGCCAATCAAAAGTCCACCAATCGTGCTCTCGCCGCCATCTCCTGGTGGCCTTTCACGCGAATCGTCACGGCAGTCCTTCACCTCGGCTGACGACGCTCTCCAAAGCTCAACACACGGCTCACATCAAGACGCCGACAATCGACATGCCTCCAAAAGCGCTATTTTCGACGCAGGCAACCAGCCACAAGACAGCGTCCACGGCGAGCGCAACTGGCATTCGCTCGTGCGCATCCTCTACATCTTTGCACTCCTCAACCCAAGCATCGGCTACGTCCAGGGCATGAACGAAGCGCTCTTCATCCTCCTCTACGTGTTTGGTTCCGCACAATATCCTTCGGCGACCTCCGCGAGCATCGCATCCAGCATCTCGCAACAAAGCATCGCCGCAGCCGACGGAGACAGGCCGTGGGACAACGACGCCGACCTCGCCGACACCACGTCGCATGCCGAGGCCGACGCATTCTGGTGCTTCTCCACTCTCGTCGGCGAGATGCGCGAGCTCTACGACTTTGAGCGCGTCGAGCAGCAGAGCCGCGCAGGCGCAGCGCTCGTCGCCGACCACCAGCCCTCGCAGACCGGCATGGCGGGCGCACTGCTGCGCTTCAGCCTGCGCATCAAGTGGCTCGATCCGCCACTCTGGCGCGATCTGCGCGCATCCAGCCTCGACCCTAGGCTGCCCTACTACTCGCTCCGCTGGCTGGCCTGCCTGCTCAGCACCGAGCTCTCGCTCCCCTCGGTGCTCAGGATCTGGGACGCGCTGCTGGCAGAACAGGACTCGAACAGCGTCTCGGGCTCGGCCAAGATCGAGTTCCTGATCGACGTGTGTGCGTCGATGATCTTGCACATCAAGCCGCTGCTGCCCAGCAGCGAAGGTGGGCAGCAGCTCGAGTCCGAGGGCTTCTCGGCTGGCATGCGTGTGCTCCAGGCGTATCCAGATGACGATGTTGCGCCGGTGGTCGAGGCAGCGACACTCGTCAGACAGCGTCGTCTGGCGGCGGACCTGACCGGTGATGGGCCGCCCACCGAGTTGGACGACGGCGAAGACTCGAATGCGACACTGGCAGCTGTCAAGGCGAGGGCGGCGCAGGCTTGGCGCGAGTGGAAGAACCCCACGCCCAGCAGCCCTGCGACGCCCGTTCGCACGGTTCCGCAAGCAGACAGCGGTACGCCAACGACGAAAGGCGGCTGGCTCGTGTCTCGGGCGCGGGCGCGGCCGAGCCTGAGCGCCGAGGATGCCGACACCTCGATCACGAGCAGCGCCGACGGCGACACGTCCGACCTCTCCACCGCATCCAAGAGCTCCTTCAGCGGTTTCCTGGCCAAGTATGCCGAGGCGATGCAGAGCAGCGATGCGGCCGCCAACCTGTCCAAGGCGAGCACCAATCTGACTGCCAAGGCGCTCGCGCGCTTCGGTGACCGCTCGAGCCGCGAGTCGACGCCCGAGGCCTCGGTGCCGCACCAGCGCTACGGCTCGCTCGGCCGCGGTCTGCCGCTGAGCCCTCCGCCGTCCGAGTCGGGCGCGGGCGACTCCCGCGTGGCTACGATCGGCGCGATAGGAGCGAGCTTCTTCGGACGCAAGCGTACACACACTGTTGAAGGCAGGTCGCAGTCGGTCAACTCGCCGCGCACGCCGGATATGACGCGCTGGTCGCGCGATACCATGCCGGACTTCCCGCTGCCCAACGTCTCGGACAGCCCCGCGGGGCGAATGGACTATGTCAACGCTTTCGGCAAACGTCTCAGCGTTGCGGCGAATGGCCGGTCCATGGCGTCGCCAGCTTCGTCGGTCGCAGGCGACGACAGTGGCGAGCGGCGCGTGAGCGAGAGTGCCGGCTCGGTGGCGCTGCCCAGCATGCGTGCCGCAGCGCGCATGGGCATCCTTCCCGCGCGCTACCGCGAAGAGTCGGCAAGTCCACGTGCGGCAGCGGGTCCCAAGCCGTTGCTGCTCTCGCAGGCCGCGCGCCCACCGCGTGAGGGAAGCAGTGCGGGCACGCTCACGGTGGACGAGCCGTCGCGCAAGATCTCCTCTGGTCCCATGGGGCACAGTATGAGCAGGGAGAACAGCCACGAGACGAGGAGCAACACTTCGGCGTCGTTCAGTCGGCGCTCGTCGCGGTCCACCTCGGTGGCGGATAGTCGGCGCAGTTCGATGGTGGATTTTGCGGATGCGGGCATGCCCGGGCTTGCGGAGCCCGACACGCTGCCGCCACTGCCGAGTCTGACGGGCCAAAGTGCGGCGGCTACGCTTCCGTCGCGCTCGGGAAGCTTTGCGTCCGACGCAGGCCGACCGATTGTGCTCCAAGGTGGGGCCAAGGATGGCGTTGTTTCGGCAGGAGCATTTGCGCGCGCAACCAAGGTAGAAGAGCGGCCCGAATTCGGTCAGGTGGCGAGTTCGTCGGATGTGCCGCTGGTGACGGGCGCGAGCATCGGGCGCCCGCGCGGTGCGAATCGGCAGCGCACCTCGAGCTCCACCGTCGAGTCGGCCGTATCCACCTCCGGCTCGCTCGGCAACAGGGTATCGAATCGAAGCAGCCAGACGACCAACGCGGACGCTAGTGTTGCTCCCGTCCTCAACGAGGAGTTGGTCGATGAACCTGGCGGGATGGAAGATGGCGGTGCCGACGAGTGGAAGCCGGGTCATGCAGTCGCTTTGACAGAAACCACCGAAGAGGCCGTGCGAAAGTACACGCTGACGGACGAACCAACGACCAAGGAGCCGCCGTCTGTAGGAGGGCTGGTTAGGACAAAACGCTACGTCAAGAATCGCCAAATGTCCACAGCTAGCACGGCTAGCACTGCCCGCAGATCAGCTCTTCGCCTCTCGAATCGCTCGTCCCTCGATCCCACCGCCAACGAAGAGGACGCAGAAGCCGGTGTTGAAGCCGGAGTCGACTCGCTCGCTCTCAACGGTGCAGACCCCCCACGCGCGCCTACGCCATCAACAGACCGCAGCACATTCATCTAGACCCCCCCTTCAGCTTTTTCACTCTTTGCATTTCAGCAACTTTCATCACTGTCACTAGCCCCAAGTTTGTCCTAGGCATCGGCTGAGCCGAGCGCGCGACTGAGACGACGCGAGGCAAAGCGGCCGATGCTGCCGACGACCGAGGTGTCGTCTTGCTGGATACGCGGGGTCTGGCGCGGCGTGCCCATGTCTTCGAGCACCGAGCGGCGCGCCGGCGACCCAAGCTGCTCCTCCGACGGCCGCTTGATGTGGCGAGGCGGTCGCGGCGGCGGCTGGGGCCTCGAAGGCGACGTGCTCGGATCGGCGGCAGACTCGGTATGCATCATCGTGTGGCGCCGCTGCGGCACGCCGTCGTCGGGACGCAGCGTGTCGAGCTGCGATGCAAGAGCGTCGACGATGCGCGAGCCGCGCGCCCCAGGCACCCGATCTGCTCGCAGCTGTCCGAGACGCACCGTCTCCTGGCTCGGCGAGAGAGCGTCACCGCCGGCGATGCGGCCAAACTCGTCTGTGGCTCCGTTCAAGCTGCCCGGCTCGCCAATGGTGCTGCCTTCGCTTTCGGTCTGCGATGGGAGGCGCACGGCGTTGCCCAGGGTTTCTGGACTCGAGGCTTCGACGCTCGACGCCGATGCAGTCGATGCCGCCGACGCCGGCTGGCCCGAGGCAGTGGCATTCGAGATCGAAGGATTGCTCAGTCGC